TAATCGTTTTTTCGTTGTCGTGTCATTCCCATTTATTACTGGTCAGTACTTATTAGCCGACTTCAAAAACAAGGAGGTTATTTATTCGTTCGTATTTTTTTTTCTTTAATCGCTAATCATGTCAATGACGTTTCTATGTGGCCAGTTATTCAATGCATTAATTCCTATTCAATGTTGGGGCACAGTGGCGCCGCGACGTCACCGCATTATGAACGTTCATTACTGCTGATGGAACATTGATTTAACGGGTCAAATCTGTTGACACCACCATCAATACTATTTAAGCTACTAAATATTGTTCTTCATGAGATCTGATTCGTGAAAACATATTCTATATTGCTTCGATGAAATTGGAGCGGAGTAATTCAGAATATTAAAATATTTAGAGAATATAATTTATAACTAGTTATTGCTTATCGTAATTTTGGAAATAGTTTGTGTATTCTTAGTTTTCGTTATATTAGTTATTGTGTTTAATATTTAGACATATTCATTTATTTTCTTATATTAAATAGAAATTAATAATAAACCTTCTTACTAATATAATAAATGCGAAAGTTTAGATGGATATTTGTTTGAAGATAATGTCTGAATCGATCTCGATGAAATTTCGCATACATTTAGAACATAATCTGGAAGAACACATAGGCTACTAATTGTTTTTTATTTACGCGCAAGCAAATTCGGAATCGACTGCTAGTATTATATATAAAAAAAGTGCACCACTGGCTGAGGAATCCCATGACTCAATAAGCGGGCTGTTTCTAAAATAACTGCCTTTTGTATTGGATCCTTAATCCAACTGTTTAGTTAGTGGTTAAGATGTTGATCGAAGCTCTTCGATATCAGTCCATTCACCAATACCATTATCAGAATAATGGTAGTCGATTTCATCTACATGGTGGTGTTTAATTTAGCAAAAAGTCTGTTACTTGCTTTACTGGTTTATTCCATTCATTCAATGGTCGCGTTCATTCATTAATTCATCGTATCATTCAGTTCGTTCAGCGCGTGTTTGTGGCACCGTCGGGGTCGTTTCAATTAAACTATATTACAATGTTACGTCGTCGGTCGCTGGGCGCAGGGTTAATTGCTATTGGGCCGTCTTAGAATGATCTTTGGTCTCGAAAAATATTGTTTATACACCTTTTTATTTCTTATCTTTGTTTAGATTGACGTCATTAATTAATTGTTATTTAAAGCTACGTATTTAAATAATACCTTTATCATACTAGAGCAGATTGTCAATGATTATATTAAATATATTTCTACATAAAAAGGTTTGTTACCTATTAGGAACTTTGATTAGAATAAAGTATACATTTACTTCTTACTAATATTATAAATGCGAATGTATAGATGGATGGATTGATGTTTGTTTGATGATATCTCCAGAACGGCTCAATGGGTCTCGATGATTTCATCATGCATGAATTTAGAACATAGTCAAGAACACATAGTCTACAGCTATTTATTTTATAAAGTAAATTTAAAAAATAATTGAACATCTCGAAGACAACATAAATAAAATCACATAATTAAGTTCAATTAAACACATTCAGGTCAAAATAATAAAAGCGTTCCTATTAAGTATAATTATTCCTTTTAAAAAGTTCCTATTACGTGTCATAGGATGTGTTCCCATACACGGTAAGTCATTTAGACGCGTTCAGTTCATCAATTATGAGGTTTTATCAAAAGCAGCTGGCAGTTAAGACGGTCATAGCAATTAGTTGGAAGTGAGCGCAATTACTATTGCGTCACCCACTACCAGGGGGCGTGGTCGTGTTACAATTGATCCAGGACTCGAAGATGACAAAATTTGAGTCGTTCTATTCCAGGGTTGGACTCTTTCACTTAGATTTTTTTTTTATCTATTTTAATATTTTTGTTACCTATTTAATTTTTTCTAAGTATGGCCCTGTAGATTACTATTCCGTAAGGAGTTTTAGTTTCCACCCTGATAGCACAAAAAAATTCTATTCTATTCCAAAATGGTCAGAAATCTTAGAATTTCTTATTAAAACTTACTAATTCTTTATAATCAATTCTGAATAATGATTCAAGTTTTATTTTAAGCACTTTACTTCACCTTTAATCTACTTTTAAAAAAAAATTGAAAATTATTTTCTAACTGTACTTTATATTTTGCTGTCAGTACAGCAAGTGGTTTAATTTAAATGACGCATCGGTTGTCCGATGCATTGTGTAAGGAGGCCACTCGATTGTAGCAATTGTAATTAGTTGTGTTGCCTTGAAGACTGATTCCTTAATCTAGAACATTCGTTATTATATGACATTGTATATTAAAATATAAAGACAATTCTTACACCAAAATCTCTGTATAAAATATATGGTCATCCCTGTCTTTCATCTTTAATAAAACAAAGATGACAATATGTTTAATACGGTGGTTTTGGGCTTAGAAACCCATGATAAGTGTTTATCCTAAACGCAAAAGCTTCTACCAAGAGAGGTTCCATTGTCATTAAGCTTGTATTAATACGTGGTTTTTTTTTTAATAATGATAATTAACTTGACTTAAAGTCCTATTTCCCCGTAGTGGGGCACAGTGCGTCGCCAGTTCGCTCTATCTTGGGCTCTGCGTTTGGTCTCGGGCTCCGTAAGCGATTGCCTTCATGTCGGCAGCTACTGTGTGCCGCCATAATGATATAATGACAATATATTTCTGTACAATCATCATCAGCTCACTATATGTCCCCACCGTGGGGCTCGGAGCCTACCCTAAGCTAAGGGTGACTAGGCCATAGTCAACCACGCTGGCCAAGTGCGGGTTGGCTTAAATCACACACATCTTTGAATTTCTTCTCGGATATGTGCAGGTTGCATCACGATGTTTTCCTTCACCGTAAGAACGTCGGATCAATGTACATATGTAAATCGAAAATCGAAAAACACATTGGTACATGGCGGGTTTCGAACCCAGGACCTGCAGATTGTAATCTGTGTGACAAGTGCTGAAACCACTGAGCCACCGACGCTCTTGACAAGTACTTTCTGTACAAGTATTTAGTTATTATTATTATGAATTATAACATACAGTAATTATGAAAAACAAAACACTTAGTGACATCTGCTTTAGATCATAATGACCCTTTTGTTTGCTCGAGTCATTTCTTCCTTGTGTATAACAATAAAAAAATATTAATGTTACCTCAAATGTCAGCCAAATGTACAGAGGGGTACACTAATCGCATTAAGACGGTCTGCGTTCACGGACTATTATGTTGATACGTTTATATTCCGCTACGTGGCGAGGGTAGGAAAGGATTGCTGGAATCTTTCTTTGGTATTTCCTTCCTTTCTTATAATATGCTTTATTGTTATGAAATTTTTATAGACATTATAAATACTTATTTATAAATTAAGCCTGGAAACTTAATTTATATTTTATATAATTAATGATAAAAGAATAAAGTTGCAAAGTTAATGTACTTAAAAACTACATATGAATCGAACTTTCTTTTGTATGTATTTGATTACAAAATTAGACTTTATTAGAACTTTATTAAAGAATATTGGTAACAATAGTTTAAGTAAAATTAACACATTCAACGCTTTAAAAAAATATTAAAGTGGCGCATGGCGAGTCGGCATTGAAAGTGTTAAACATACTTTGTACCTCCATTGCAATAATATTGTAGGTCAATAGGCCAATTAACACAAAACAACGAATCGTAAAACCACGTTACTATAAAGCTATAAACACTTAATATGTCATGAGGCTAATAATTTGCCACGTAAGTGTTAATAAGCTTTCGTTATAAACAATACTAGCTGTCGACCGCGACTCCGTCCTCGCAAAATAAAAATAAAAATTAGTAACCTATGTGTTCTTCCACACTATGTTCTATATTTGTCCCGGAGGCCTAATTTAGTCCTCTTTCCCTTCCCACCCTTTTCTTATAAGGGAAGGATGGGAAGTGGAAGTGGACTTTCCGGATGAGAGGATGCATAGGAAGGGAAAATATTTTCTCTCTGTGCATCCTCTCTTCCGTCGATTAAAGGTAGGCAACGCATATGCATTTGCGTACGTCTATGGGCAACGATCACTTCGCTATTTTAGCGATTTCAGGTGGCCGCTCGCTCGTTTGCCGCCTTCTGATATAAAAAAAAATATGTATGCCAAATTTCATCGCGATCTATTATATACCTTCAAACAAACATCTAAACATTCGCATTTATAATATTAGTAAGAAGTAATATGTCGTAGTAATTATTACTTAATACAAGTATTCCAATGATAATGAATATCGACAGTTTAATGTTGCGCAAATTTTTTCTATTATGTTACGTCTTGTTTTTATCACGACCCTAATGGGTAAGGGAAACAAATGATCATTATGTTTCCAGGAAAATGTTCGCTGCAACTTTAATATTTATTATCATCGTTATTGTTTTTTGTTTCTTTTAATCTGATATTCAGATTTTTCTTTCATCTATCATTCTAGTCTACAATTCTTAGTTTTTAAAATTAGTTTACTTAGGCAACTATCAAATGAGATACATATTACTAAATTACGACCTTTAATCTAAAATGTTCTCCCAATCAATACTAGAAGACCAAAAAAGTATGGATGGACTCTGTGAAAGAGGATATACATAAGAAGGTGATTCAGATATGACGGCTGATAGAGATGTTTGGAGGAGTACATACTGTGCCGACCTTTCATACGGATAAGGGCAGTGATGAATCAATACTAGTAATTTGTCACTTCAAAATGTTTACCTTAACTTTAAGTTAGCTTTTAAGCTTTAGAATTAAATACATATTAAATAATCTTATCAATGTAGGGAAGAATGTCCGACACTGTGCCGGTGTACTGGCGCAACACTAGCCATACTAAAATGTCGACGTTTATGTCCCCTCACTATTTATTCTGACACTTGACTGGGTAATAAAAGCCTTTGCGTGCCAATGGATTCTAAATTATTATGTCTTAATCAATTATTTTAATTTGTTTTTATTTCCTTTGCAGATGCGTGCGGTTTATCCGACGTGCCGCACATAGAAAGCTTACAAGAGAAATCACAATGCGCTCTAGAAGAATACTGCAGAAGTCAGTATCCCAACCAACCGACAAGATTCGGCAAACTCCTGCTCAGACTTCCCTCTTTAAGGACCGTCAGCTCACAAGTAATAGAACAACTATTCTTCGTCCGTCTCGTCGGGAAAACTCCTATAGAGACATTGATAAGAGATATGTTATTATCCGGAAGTTCATTCTCCTGGCCGTATATGGCGACCATGTGACATTCGATGTGGCGACAGCTCGCGGCGGCCTGATCCTCGCCGTACGGCTTCTCGCCGTACCTGCCTCAGTTCAACTTCCAGAGATATAGTGAGGCGCAAGAGGACGCGGTGACGTCATCCACCGAGCTCCACGAACAGTCGGAGGAATACTTTAGAAGAGAGAAGGCCGATTGTCCGACTTTTGAACAGACATTCTACGCGTCAAAATCGACGGAGTCCGAAGTGTTCGAAGCGACGACATCGGAGTCAAAAAACAAGACGTCTTTGATGATTGACAACCTATTGAATCTTAGGCAAGAATCTTGCTCTTTAACGGACATTAAGTAAAGTGGGTCAGTAGAGTTAATTAGTTGATTTTGTTCCTTTGTACAAAAAAAAATTAAATTAGGTTAGTTGTAATATTTAATGATGTAAATAAAATGTTTTTATTATTGTAAATGTACCGAATGTAATATAATGATTAGGGTACGAGAGACGTGTTCTATAGATATCGTGGTTTCGACAAAATGTTTCCTTCTTAGGAATTGATTTAGGTTTCGGAAATAAAAACTTTTTATACGCAATACTTTTTAGTGATTGTTTCTTTTTTTAAATCTAAGAGCAATTGTTTGAAAGCAATGAAAATCGATCGTGCAATCTTGGTGTGTAGTTATCTATTATAATATAGGGGTAATAGTAATTTTGGAGGTCTTTGAAAACCTATTTTTATTTAATTAAAAAAAATCTGGAAGAAATTTATTTGAAATTGAAAATACATTCAGTTTGAATTTAAAAGTTATCAAAACGGTTACAATTTTATGAAATTAATAAAAAAAAATTATTGAAAATTTTTTTTAGTAAATTTAAAAAACATTTTTTGTACTGGTGCTCTATATTTTAAAACAAATAATTTTCTGTACAAATTAATTCCTTAAAAGCATTTAGTGTTTTTTCGATTCTTCAGATACTTTTATATATTATTTATTAAGTATTTAAATCTAAAAAAAAACATTAATATGAGTTGTAAACAAAAAAAAATATTTTATTGTTTTTTACGTGTGTCGTGTAAATTTTAATTACTTGAATTAATATTATTTTAGTGCAAATATATATCTTACTATCGAATACAATCAAAATTTATTTATGTACATTTTGGTTGTTACAATTGTGTTAAAAGATTCCAAAGAAAAATTTAATTCTTTGACATTTGATGACGAAAAAAAAAACTGCTTATTTAAAATACATTGCAGCAAATACTTTTCTAATATATTATCAGGAGCAGTAAAACAATTTACATATGTATTTACATACCAAAATAATATGTAACGAGATAGTAAAAACAAAAGGAAACGATTCATGTAAATATGCATTCAGCATAATATTTTTGTTCTAAATTTGTAAAAATTAGACCTTCTTTTCACTAACCCATTAACAGTAGCGTTAGGTTAGAGCGAGATTGGGCGACCATCAAGGGCACCGGGGATACGGGGGCGCCACAGGCGCCATAATCTGATATATAGGGGCACCTCTGGCACCCCCTAAGGTACCCTATCTCGCCGCTCGAAAAAATCTCGCCCGAGGCCTCAGAAATGCTACCCAGACCACTAAATGTGTACTTTACAGTAACCAAAAAAAATAATCACGCATTTTATATGACTTTTCTGGTACATGTAACCGCCGGTTTCCATTGTCAAAAACTAATACAAAAACATATTCTTGTCTCTTTCATTCTTGTTTTTTGTATCGTAATTTTTCGACACTGGAAATACAGGCTAATTTCACTTCTCCTGCCAAATCTATAAAAGCAATGTATTTATTTGCATATAATGTACAGAGATGGATGTAATTAGAGTGGGTGTGTATGGGACTGAGCGCTGTTGTATGGCGCGTCGAATTCAACAATAAAACAAGTCTCTTTGAATAAAACAAAGTATTTCATTTCATTCCATTCCGTTAAAAAAGCAAATATGAAACCAAAGATTTATTGAAAACTAGATGCCGCCCGCGACTCCGTCGCAGCAAAATTAAAAAAAAAAACCTTAATAAGTAGCCTTTGTGTTTCTCCAAACTATGTTCTACATCTGTGCCAAATGTCATTGACATCTGTCAAGCCGTTTTGGAGATACCTACAAACAAACATCAATAATCATTCGCATTTATAATACTAGTAAAATAGTAAGATTTATTTAAATTTTTACATTACTCTATCTAAGTATGTTTGTTTGTATTTTAAAAGACGAACGTGGCTATAGCACACAAAAGTACATCTAATATTAAGTGATGGCTACTCACAGACATCTGCAAGATACCTTAAATTAAAATTGCCTTTACCACTTTTATTAAACAGAGAAATCCATAACAAAAAGAAAATAAATATCACTCGCATTTCTATCCTTCCATTGTAAGAAGTATTGCAAATCCTGTCTGCCTCTCTATAAAGGTGATGTTATATCACATGTGAAAGCGACTACAAAAGGGTAGCGATGCTAAGTAACTGGTGCGATATTATAGACGAAAGTATAAAGGTAGTACCACACCATCGTGGGATCACATCGCGTGCGTCAGCTGTGTTCAACACGCAAGCCGAGATTCGCGCACGTGGGAATTTCTACATGAATATAGTTTCCGTAGTAATTAATTGCTACAAAATTACATGTTTATACGAAATTATGATTTTACTATGAATTGTGTTGCTGATATTTTTCATAAATAAAATAGATTATTAATCTTGTGTGCCCGTTACTAACAGCGAAAGTATTAAAGAGATTTAAACTTTCCAACCTTTTTGGTAAAATAAATAAAATGTAGAGTCTTAGATTACGAGAAAGAAAAAAGATTTTAAATTAAAATTAGTCAAGCCAAATTACTCAAGAATCTTAAGTCATAGAATATTCTAAAAGTTACGTATGTAACGGTACAGTAAATTTTAAGTATGCGACCTGTTCATTTAGAAGGAAACAAACTCTTTATTTTCTTCTTTGAAGCCAACGCATCTGCGGTTCCTTTGGTATTGCAAATATCCATGGGCGTTGATGAACACCTCGTTGTTCTCGCTGCTCGCTTGCTACCTTCTCTTATAAAAAAAAGTTAAAAAGAAGACCTAGAATTCACTTTCTTGACCAAATTTACAAATCTGCTGCAAATATTTAAGATTCGGAAGCATTCGAAAACTTATAAAAAGTAACTAAAGTTATCTTCAGGTCTCGTTTAACTATTATTGAGTTCGCCCTGAACATTATATGTACACTTAGGTGTACTCCGTAGACATTTCAGTTATATACAGGGCGTAGCATAACTTTAGGTACAAATCAATCGTATCAGTCGCGAGGCTTCACCTTAACGCAAGTATCCGCGGGTCGTGACCTCCGACCCCATTGGGCGACCCCTGCCCCGCCCAACGCCCTTTACCTAACTGAAATACTACTGAAGTGTCTACAAATTGATTATGAAAACGTCTACTGAAACGAACCTACAAATCATACAACGCAATTCTACAACGGATGTTTTAACTTTAGAATTATTTTGTTACTGGCTGTCGTCCGCGACACCATTCGCACGGAATTACATTATAATAAAAAACATAATTAGTAGCCTATGTGTTCTTTCAGACTGTGTTCTATATGTACGCCAATTTTCATCGTAAACCGTTCAACTGTTCTAGAGATACCTTCAAACAAACGTCCATCCATCCCTCTATCCATATAAACATTCGCATTTATAATATTAGTAAGAAGTAAAATTGTAGTTTAATAATTTTCTTACACCTCGGCCACACTAATGGCTTCAGTTTAAGGAACGTACGAGTATTGTGATGTGGAAGATGCGCCCGATAACACAACGGTATCCACTGATGCCCGTACTATTAAAGATTCTATAGAACAGGAAAAGATGCGGAGTAGCCATTTAATTAATAAAATATTACTACTATCGTATTAACAGTATAAAATCAATTTCTTTTTATAATAAAATAAAGAGAATCTTTGTTGACTATTAATCTACGAGATATTGTATATCAGCATGAATTCGACTATATGAATTACTCTGGATTAAATAATTTTGATACTTGTTAACTAATGTTGTTGTTGCTTTGAGTCAACTACAATTTTTCACAAGAAAAAACATATTATAACACCTTTGAGTATGACATTTTCATATAAATATACAATTTTCGTATTTCATTGAATAAATTTTCTTTAGTAAAAAACGACTCCCTATAATTTCTGTTCTAAAACATCGCCTAATCGCGCGGGTGGTCGAGCCTGATTGTGATTGACAGTCGCACGTCCAACCTTCACCACTGACTCAAAATATAACCTTTATTCATATTTACACTCTATCCATTACTGACTTATAATGCGTTACAAACGCCCCTCTTAGTAGTAAAGCAGCAATGAATGCGTTGGAATTGAAATGGTTGGGAATTTTGTTACCATGGTAGAGACATCGCTAACTAGAGTTGGGTGTCTGAAGACACCATGCTATGGTCTTCTTGGACGTTTGATGGGGATGTATGGAACGGCTGACAGCTCTATGTGAGAATGGATGTTGTTACATCAAAAGATTTTGATGGCTCGTATCTTCTCTGATCGTAATTTTTAATATTTTATCGTCTGTTAATGCGAACGCCTTTTTTTTACACTATTCATCATTTTTAAAACGAAAATTTCTTTTTTCGTAGTTCTATAACTTTAGGACTATTTAAACGACTTTAAATTCAAAGGATAGTTATTTAAAAACTGTGGGCAATGCTTATCAGATAATCTTTAGCGTAATTAACTAGAGCGTCAGTGGCTCAGTGGTCAAGCATTTGACTTGTAATCTGCAGGTCCTGGGTTCGAAATCCACCATGTACCAATGTGTGTTCGATTTACGTTTGTACATTTATCCAACGTTCTTACGGTGAAGAAAAATATTCTGATGTAACCTGCATATATCTGCGAAACAATTCAAAGATATGTGTGAGGTCAACTGTCACTGCGTCAGCGTGTTTGACTATGGCCTAGTCACTCCTAACTTAGGGTAGGCTCCTAGCCCCTCAGTGGAGATGTATAGTGAGCTGATGATGATGAATGTTAACTTGTTTAAGTTGCTTTCAGTTCTCTTTATAATTTTAAAAAGCCATCAACCATTAAATAAACAGTCCTGGCCAATAGTTTTCTCATAGAATGAAATAGATAAAAAACCGCAGTCCCCCGTCGTTGTCCACTAACGTTGGACAATTTATCTAAAAGTATCGGCTCCCAACGCACATTGTTTTAGCAACTGCCACCGAAATACCGACCCTAATGAAATTTACGAGCGACGGTTCCACATGAGACAATTTGGACAAGATATATCTGACAATAACTCGGTTATTGACATCACCTTTACATTCATTATTCAAGCTACTAGTGTTTTTTCTTTAATTTTAAATACTTTAAATAAAATTATAATTTTAACATTTAAAAAGATTTTATAAAATTCAGCTTATTAAAATTATTGAGTATTAATCCTGTGAATAAAGTCAGGTCAATGCGCCTAATTGTAAAATTTCTATGAAATATCTAATTACATGTAAATTAAAAAAAAATCTATTGATGCCTGGTCTTTCTATTTATTCGTATATTACATTTAAGGATTTTTAGCTTCATTTTATATTCAAATTTTTTTAGCTTTTTATTGTTATTTTAGTTTTTATTAGTGTAATCTCGTGTGCAGCATGTAGGCGTCGGATTGACTTTGGTGAAAAAGTGTGGCGATCCCTCTCACCGTTGTCCACACATTTTGCGGACCTGTCACCTCATTTTTCTGAGCA